TAGCACTTCAGTCTTCTTCATGATGCGTAGATCTGCAAAGGCGTTTTTCTGTACTGGTCTTGTGTTAGCCTCAGCTTTTCTGTTAAATAATAATAAACTGTAATCAATAATTAATTTTAACATACTACATATAGGCCTGCTTATATTTTAGTATATCCTCATCCACTACCAAGGCCTCATGTGTTATCTGCCTTAGGTCGCTTTAGTCTTGCTGGGACTATAGTTTTCTGCGGATTGTACAAGTTTCTTATGGCACTATTTTTTTTACTAATTTTTTTCGAGGGTGGGCGTCAGTAGCCTAGTGGTCAGGCAACCGGACTCGTAACCGTGAGATTGTGAATTTGGAGGTTCGAACCTCAGCTCGGTCCGACGTTGTGTTCCTGGAGAAGGCACTTTACACGAAATTCCCATTTGGCTCGGTCCTTTCGGAGATGGACGTTAAACTCGAAAGTCCCTCCTCTTACATATCATAAGAGTGTTGTTAGAGGCATTGAACCCATGCAATTTTTCTTTTCTTTGTTTTTTCTTTGTTTGTTGTAAATTGTTATCTCATTGCAGTTTGGTGTGAGGAGTGAATAGTTCATGTCTTTCATAAACACAAACACCGCAACGGAAATATGTTCACAGTTGCATCGTCAGGCTCACCGACCATCACAGTTAAAGTCCAATCACTTTTGATCTTTACTCCGAGACACCTTTTGTTTAAAAAAGAGTCTATATCTCAGGGTTGAGCAGTTGTACGGTTTGACAATGTTTTTGAAAATTAGCAATAATGATAGTCGTATGAATTATAATAATAAAGTTCTCTTATCAATCACATTTCCAACAATAAAGAGCTCAATGAGCTTTACAATATTACATAATATATGTGCACCACACGGTTCCCATAGTGATCCTTTATCGTCATATGTGCGCAAACAATAAACTCAATAACTTCGAGTTTGCAACTTCCCCTGGTTTTCCATGGAGGGTTTCAATTAGAATTTGTGAATCTGGTGGCTTCGACTCTGCCTTCTAAGACCAACCTCATCTATATATAGAATATAGGCAGTAGGCATCTAACCCTCACGGAAACCAAACTTATAAACTTTGTGTCCAAGGCGAAGGGCTCAACACTTACAGTAGAGCCGTCGTTGTTTTGTCTTTGTCACAAAGCTTTATTAACAAAGTCATTTGTTGACTGAAGTTTTACTCTTTTCTAAAGCTGCCAAAAATCTTACTCTTTTCTCTCTGTTTCCCACAGGTGTGTTGCTGAGAAGAGAAGATCCCCGCTGTCATGGTAATTCTGGGCAGTTGGTCAGAGCAGCATCGCCGCACGCAGCAAAACAACCCTTCTCCTGCAGGCTCGGCCCACCTACGTCACACAGATCACGTGACCGCCGGCACACCGCTCGTGGTGCACACAAGCTGTGACGTAACCGAGATCTCTTCCACTCTCTATTCCCTCGGGGGTCAAGTCCTCACCATGGCGGAGACTTCGGCAGCTGGGGAGATAACTCCGGCGAAATCTGTGAGAGGCACCACCACCACTTCTACCACCTCCGCCAACAGCAACAGCAACAGCAACAGCAACTGCCCGTCTCCTGTTCGGGATGACCTTGAAACGCAACAGCAGACAGCCGCGAGCGCTTCTGCCAGGTCACGGAGGAAGTTTGCGAGATCTGGGTCAAATTCCTGGTTCAACAAATCTTTCGACCAAGCCGTTCTCAACCAGGCGACAAAACCTCCACCGGCACGGAGCATGCGCAGACAGAGCTCTGTAACTGACTTTTTCCAGAACGTGCTCTCTAAGAGTAAATCGCACTTACAAGACATTTTCTCTTCGAAGAGGGAAAAATCGAAGATAAAAATGGCGATGACGACGGCACAAGAAGCGAGACTGCAGTCTCCAACAGCGGCGGTGGCGGCGGCTTCGGACAAAACCGCTGAGTCAGCCTCAGGGGCTGAGGGCGGGGCTTCCCCGGCGCAGTCCGGCCATGACCTCGGCTTCAGGAGCGCCAGCTTGCACAAGTCTTGTCCTAGTTTCTACGACCCGGACTCCGAGCTCGTGGACACGTCTTCTATCAACGTCCAGATCAGCCTTGACCCCAGCCCCACGGAGACAAGACCAGACATCTCCAAACGTCGACGCTCGGGCGACAAAAGCAGAGTCTCCTCCCCTACCTCGCCCATGACGGCGACCATGAACATGTTTGTGGTCACAAAACCCACCAATTTCCGTTCCAAATCCGAAGATGTGGATTCTTCTTTAACCAACGCCGCCCCGACACATAGGAGATTGACCAAAAAGTCGAGCCTGCCTTTTTCCACCTTCCGCCATGAGGGCACGTCCTCGCCCACTAGCATCTCCTCCCTCACCTCCCCCAGCAAAAAGAAAACACCAGTCTCGGACACTGCAAGTCCAGGCAGGTACCGAGCGCCAAAGATCGTCACCCTCTCCTCTCACGATTCTTCGGACAGCGCAGACGAGAGTCAGTTCAGAATCGGTTCCTTCACCAGCACGCCACCAGGCGCTTACACAGGAGGGGGGCGGGCAAGTTTCACGGGCACAACCGCTTTGCTGACAACAGGTGACGTTATCAGTAGAGCCAAGAGAGCTTTGGTCAAAAGCAACTCGGACACTTTCGCAAAGTTGAGCTCGTCGCCACTACCCCTCGTAAAAGCCTCGTCCGATGGCAACTGTTTCAAGAAGAATTCTGTGTCTTCATTAGCCACCAGTATGACGTCATCGGCGCGAGTTATGGTGAGCGTCACGGACTACCTTTTCCTGGGCAGTGTGGAGGCAGCCTATAACGAACCACTTCTTTGCAAATACGGAGTGTCTTCGATGATCGACATGACCAATATTTCGCCAACTCTTGTTCCTCCCCACAAAAAATCCGATTGCCCTTGCGCGTGTGTGAACAAGACGCACTTCCGTTCGAAACTGAACATCGGGGTGGACGACATCGAGTGGGAGAATCTAGAACAATATTTCGAGGAGATCAACGCGTTCATCAACGGTGCGCGCCTCAAAGGACGGCGCGTGCTTGTCTACAGCTACATGGGCCAGTCTCGAGCGGCCGCGGCTGCCATTCAGCACTTGATGCACCACTTCAAAATGCCCTACAGAGAAGCTCTTCACGTGGTGCGCTCCAAGCGACCGCAAGTGAAGCTAAACTCGGGATTCGTGAAAGCTCTCCTGCGTCTCGAGAAGCGGCTCGGTCTTCAGACTGTCAACCAAGACGAGAAAGGGGCGGGGTTAAAAAAGCAGGAGAACAAGCCCGAGGAGTCACCGAGGGTGTCACGTGGATCTGTGGAGGACCTATCAGCGCCGCCCGTAGTGAGGGGGGCGTGGTTAGAATGTTGAAAAACGAATGATTGTTGTGTATAATGTAAGTAACTCATTTCCCTCTATTGTACGATATTATCTTTCTTGTTTCTTTATCTCACATCGCTACCCTAGAACTACATAGTTCTACCTGCTCATTGCCTAGTTTTGAGAAATTTGACTTTAACATTTTTGAGTTTCACATCATGTCAAGTTTTTTTTAAATTTTTGATGTAGCTATTTGAAAATCATGATAACGACTACAAAAACAAAAAAATCTTACGATTTTGAAATAGCAGGTAGAAGAACATTTGGTTTCTGACTTAATTGTCGTAGTAACTTAAAATGGTTAAACATGTCAAACAGAACTCTGTAATTCCAAGGTAGCGAACTGAGAGAGGATCTTTATACATATGATTCTTTTCAACTTGGGTTTTGTTGTATGCCTTTCTTCATACATCCTGTCTATTTTTTTTTATATAGTAGAGGGTTTTGCGGCGCTCGCAACTTCATAAGGTCATATGAGCGTATAATTAATTTTGCTCACAATATAAGTCCCAGAAGTGTCAAAGGTAACTGTTTGAGTAAGATGCAAATCTTTAATCTATATTACAGAAGCCTG